AATCAAGTGCTGACCTATGACCGTCGGGCCCTGCCCCGTGTGGCCACCTGCCCACCTCTGACCCTCCTGCTGTCTGGAAGACAGGACTCCCTCCGCTGGGTCTCCCTGAAGACACGAGCTGCTCCTAGTGCCCCGCTGGCCCCAGCCTAAGGAAAGCCGGCTTCAGAGGCCACCCGCGTGAGTGTGGACGACCTGTCCCTCTCAAGGTAATACTGCCTAGCTCAGGCCTGACCGCCGCTCCTGCAACCACCACACGGGGAGGAAGGGCTGTGCCTTTCTTCATGGCCCAAGCTAGCTCATTTTAAAAGATGGAAATGTTATTTAAAAACAACATCAACGACAAAAAACTTGCTGTCAACCTGGAAGTCTTTCGGGCCTGAGATCTACTCAATGCTTAGAGAAAAAAGCACTGCTTTTGCGGTGGGAGGTCCCAGCAGCCGCCTCTGGGGCTGACTCTGAAGATCTGCACTGCTCTGGCCTCTCCAGGTAGGAGGCAGGAAGAGGGGACTCGTAGCATGGGGCCCCCGAGGCCCCCACTCCGGCAGCACCGGGGCCCTGAGGACCCCTCTCTGGCCGCACCGGGGCTCTGAGGCCCTCACTCTGGGAGCACAGGCAGGAAGATGGTAGGAGCATCCTGAAGTCCAGCCGGGGAGTGCTAGGAGGGGAGTGGCCCACAGCTGCCCGCTGGAGAGACAGCTAGAGGCCTTGCTAGGCCGGCCCAGGGCCCTGCATCCCAGCCAACAGCAAGCAAATGGAAGTTACCTGGGCCTGAGGGCCTGACAGGAGACTGTGTGGGCCGGCACCCTCCCCGGTCACTACTTGTGGTGGGGCCTTGTGGGTTTGGCCCTGAATTCCTGCCTGAAGCCCTTGGGGTTGGAGGGTGGAGGGGACAGCATCTCACAGCAGGACACTATCAGTTGCTAGTTCTTCTCGCCTGAGAGACTATCCCCTGCCCTGCTGCTGGTGTCTCCACTGGCCCTGAGGGGGTGACCACGACAGCGCACCAGAAAACAGCTCCCACGGAAGGCCAGCCTGCCCATCCCTGCTCAGCGAGTAGCCCGGGCCCTCGGTGCGTGGGTCCCACTGGGCAGAGCCCACGCGGGTCGCAGGATGCAGCCAGCAGTCCTCCCAGGGACCAGCACTGACAAGGGCACAACCGGGCCGCGGACACGCAGAAGACACGTCCCCTCCGGAAGCGTCTCACAAGAAACATGCCTGGTAATCACAGGCGGCAACGCCTGGGGCTGCTGGTTCCAGCAACATTAACAAGGGCTTTCATTATACAGCATTTAAAAGCTTTTCTTTTTTGGTTCACTGAGATTTTTTTAAAGCTTAGATGTGAAAATGACTATTGAAAATTATCTACATTTACAATTCATTCACACATTTTTATTTGATGTCAGTATACAGAGGACAATCCCAAGTACTTCAGAACGTCAAGCGTTTAGTGAGTTTCTTTAGCTGTAACAGTGGCAAGTGACCAGCTAAAAAAAAAAAGCCGTGAGGACAGAAACATGATTTTCTTAAAATTATAAAATAACAATACTGGTATTAAAGCTTCTATTAATTATTGTAACAGTTAAGAACTTAATTTACCAATATTCCATGTTAGGAAGGCTCTTCATGAAATTTATTCAAGTTGTCAAGAAATTAGATGAGAATGTAAAAAAGGAAATACATCTGAACTTTACTTTTGACTTTCACGGGAGCTAAGTGTTCATACAGTTTTGTACAGTGTCACCTAACATCGCAATCTTGAATAAACGCAGGTATACAGAAATCATAAAAATGCAGGGGGTTTCGCTTTTACACATTTAAACAGCGAGACAGTGATTTAGCCATGACACACAGTTCATGGAGCAGAAGCGGCGATGAACGAGCAGCTGAGACCGTGGGGCCGTGTCCTCCCCGGGGGGTTGCGGGGTGCATTTTCATCCGTCTTCACCTTGGGATCTGAGTCGCAAAGGGATCAGCTGAAACACAGGTGCCTTCAAGCGGGAGTGTGGACTTGGCTGCCCCCACCTGCCAGGCGGCGCTCGTTCGGCTTCTTCAACCCCCGGGGTAAGGGCGTGCCGATAAGGCCCTGTTGTGCTGACAGGGTGGGAGACATGTCAGCTCTCACCTTTGTAACCCAGACCAATGGGTGGCGACGCCTGTGTTGTTTATTGGGCCCCCCGCACATGCCGGGAGGGACACCCCAATGGGCACACACACTGCAGCCGGACACACGGAGGCCAACTGCCCCCGTGCGCCAGGCTGAGAGGGAGCAGTACGGGGCACCGATGGGTGACCTCGGCCATGCCCACACATGTAAGGGCACCACATGTGCACCCGCAGCTTCCACTGGGAGCCCTTGGGCCACCGGCCAGGTACACAAAATGCAGCGTCTGAGTCTCCACGGCCCCCTCACCAGCCTCGGAGCCTCTGGCACTTTCCTCCTCATACCCTGAGCTTGCTCCACAATGAAAACATGTTCTCTCCTTCCCGGGCGAGAGGCTATGAAGACTGTACACATGGGCAGTATCTGAGAAAGCAGCTTCACCAACATGAGCACAAATGTCATAGTTCACAATGTCTTCAGAATTCAAGCTGACCCCCCCAGGAAGTGCAGGAGGCTGGCGGGCTATCTGCCAGCAGGACTTGGTGTTAAAGTCAAAGAGTGAAAAAAAATACTGAGTTCCAGGGGGACCTGTGTACATGTACAAAAATCGTGGCAAAGATCCATCACATTTTACTTTCATGATTTCCGAATGTCTTAGGGGCAACTGCGGCCACAGCTTGGGTTTTCCACCCCCCTATGTTTCTACTGTGAGGCAATTATTTATTCTTAGTCCCAAGCCAAGGACTCAGAGGAGCAGGCTTCGAGAACTTTTTTTCCTTTTCAAAATGCTAGAAGGTTCGATCAGGACAAAATTAAGATTGTTTACCGCTACTTATTTAAATATAGACCCAGAGTTAGCGATTACTTCTGAAGCACCTGTCTATCCCCTCTTATATACGCATTTTCACAAGAAGGTACGGTTTTCCGGAGGACCCTCCCCGGCCCTAAGAGCGAGGACTCAGGGAAATGGTCTAGGTGGGGGCCGCCTGTGACGGGGAGGGCCGCCCATGGCGGGAGCGGGGGCGCCCGTGGCGTTTAGAAGCTGCCTCACCACAGTCACAGCAAGTCTGGCTTCTGAAGTGACTGGAACGTTTCACAGAGCAAGCAGAGGAGGGCAAGTGAAAAGTGTCGCCACGGTGCTGGCTCAGTGTCCCCAAGCGACACGAGGCCTGGCCCACGGGCGCTGAGCCCTCTTGCTGCGGCGGGAGCTGCGGCTCTACACCGCCTGGTGTCTCGTTGGTGTGTCTGTGCTTGGTCATCTCCACGCTCAGCTCAAGTGAGAGGCAGTGCCGAGCACCAACCTCCTCGTTGGATTCCAGAGGTTAGGTTGCTTGTGATAATGTTGGAGCTGAAAAACTGAAAAATCTCAATGAGGAAGCTCAAAGTTTGGTGAGAAAAGTACAGGAACGCTCTCCCAGTTTCTTGTAGTGGCTAAGTGCGAGCAGCATGGCGCCCCATCTCATAAATCTGAGCTTGGGACCCCACCGCCCCTCTCCCCCAGGTCTGCAGGAACGTGACTCAGAACACTGGAGGCAGCCAGGGGGAGCCAAGGGGGAGCCCCAGTGCCCTCTTGTCCTCCAGGTGGCGCAGCGCTAGCTGTGGTCGTGAAGAACACAGTGCGTTCTGTCCTGGTGGTGGGGGAGGGCAGCGAGTCAGAGGGCCGCAGCAGAAACGCTGCCTGCAGAGCAGCCAGGCCAGCCGTGCTGACCAGGGTGCACCCGGCACCCGGCCAGGGGAGTCGGGGACCAAGGAGGGGACGCAGTCCCAGACAGGTGCCAGGCAGAGAGAGGAAAGGGAAAAGAGAAGTTGTGACCAAGCCCCCAAAGCCAAAATGTTACCCTGGTTTTAAACTGGGGAGTGAGAAGGGTGGAGATACACACACACACGGGTTTCCATTAAAGGACACATTTCAGAGCTTCTTTTTTAGGGAAACAATAAATCCCCCCCATTCCCCCTTCACCCCACCCCCTGCACTAAGCATGTTGAAGTGGGGGGGTGGGGAGTCAGCGTCAAGTCACTCAGGTGTCAGGCCTTCTTGCCCATGAGCAGTATACTCAGCAGGAGAGGTCCGGAAACGCTCCACCATAACCCCACTTACCTGTCATCACCACCCTCTGTTCAGGCCCAACACAAAGTCCGCAATTTTGAAACTGCATACTCAATGCCTCAGAAGCATTTGAAACAGAGTTTCTCAGCGGTGGGGACACACACGGAATGAAGGCCCGCGAAGGCGACCAGGTGTTCACACGGGAGGGCGCCTGCCGTCTGTCCCAGAGCCAGAGACACCACGGCCACAGGGCGGGAGGGACATGGGTCGGTGGGTCTGTGAGGAAGCAGGCCTGGAGGAGCCCGGCCCGCCTCCCAGAGGGCGGCAGGGCACGCGCACACGTCTGCACGCTGCGGGAAGACGAGTCTCCAGGTTTTCCGTTTTCTGAATCACATTCACTACTCAAACCAGCATAAATTATCATTATCTCTATATTTAATTACAAAGGTGTGCAAAACAGAAAAACAAACCTAAATGCCCCAAATAAGTTAACAAATAAGATAATTACTCTCTTGACATAAAATATATAGCTCAGAGAACCATCTCATCCATTATGAAAACTGGGATTTGAAAGGAAGGTCCGGGCGCAGCCGTAAGGTACATGAGGAGTCACAATCAATACTGCAGCGTTTCCTGGAGCGGGCGAGGGTCCCAGGCCACAGGCTGCCACCAGGTCCCGACGGGGCTGCCACCGATCCCGACGGGGGAGAGGACGGGAGAGGCACAGGGCAGGCGGGAGCCAGAGTGAGGACGGAGTCCTGGGTCCTTGTCCCAAGAGGTGGCCTAGAGTCACAACTGCCACCCAATCATAAGCAGAGGGGACCCTGTCCTGGGCGTGCCTCCTCTGGGGGGGACACAGGGCCCAGCAGGTTCACATCGGGGAGCGTGCTGAGGCCAGTGAGGGTACAACAGTCTCCCCCAAACCAAGTGAGGGGTCTGCCCACGGCCTGAAGCCCTGGGCCTTTCTGATCTAAAAAGAAAACCTCCTTTTCCCTTGTTGGAAAAAAACATAAGCAAAGCACATCAGACAGAAAAGATCTCGGCTTATGTGGCGAGAGGCACTTCTGACCAGCTGCTGGCGTTCTCGCCCACGGCCGGTGCTCACTACGCAGGCTCCGAGCAGGTGGCTGCCTGAGTGCACGGACCCAGTCACAATCTCAATCAAAGTGCTACAAACTGCTTCTTTGAAAAAAGATGTTTATTAAACAATTTTAATTGTCATAAAATGACTAAAATGGGTTTTAAAAATTAAGGCTCTTCTCTTTCTGTGGATTGCCAGAACAATGTAAAAATAATGTCAATCAACCCTGCTGAATGCTTCGTTCCTCGAGTTAAATTTCATATTCCTAAACATTGTATGATTAAGATAAAAAACGGGACAATAAATGACAATGAACGGCCACCTGTACTGAACACCTCCAATCAGGTGTACAAGAGTCTAATTGAGTAGGTGAGCAGAAAGGGTCCAGGTAAAGCAGAAGTTTTAATTTGAGCATTTTAAGTCCTTGTTTCCCCACACTGCCATGATTTTCCTAAATTGAAATCGTCTAATACAGGAGCACTAACCGTGGGACTCTATATACTCCCAGGAAATGGCTGGCTTGGCTGGCAATTAGTTTGATTATATTTTTTTTAAAACGCTCTATGGTGAATTATCAAATGATTCGGAATTACATGGCATGCAGTATCCAAAATTATGGCTCTGATGCATTCAGATTTACATTAAGAATAAGAAGTGTCATTCACATTCATTGTACACCCCGCCCGCCCGCAAGGGGAAATCACTACCTAGTGGAGGTCTAGATATGTGCGGCATTAAGGATTAAAACTGACCCCTTTACCAGGCCTTCCCCATGTGCAAATAAATCCCTCCTGACAAGCAGTGACTATACAGTCTTCAAGGAAGATCAACACAGTCAGCCTCTCGTGTGCTATCTTTTTACAGATCAGCGGCTCTAACAAGGGCACCTCCTCCATTCGCGGACACAGAGGTGTGCCCAGAGTCTTAGCGGGGTCCGTCTTGGTTTTGGTAACTAGGTTCAGTCTGTCGCTGCTCTTGCTAGAAATGTGTCCCACGCTATGGTTGCGTTTGTGGTCTTTTTCGTGGTGTCTTTCCTTCCGGTCGTGCAGTGAGAGGGTGGCAAACTTGCTGACCCCGGAAGCAATGGCCCCGTCCATGACACTGCTTTTGCTGCCGGCGTTGGAGACTGCTGAGTGGGGGAGACTGTTGGACCGCGGGAGAGGGGGGGGCACGGAGTTCCCAGGGGTTGTGACGCTGTTCCCATTGCTGCCGGCAGGGGGACTCGTGGCGTTCATGACATTTGTGTGTGTCCTTGCTCTTGAGAGGGGCTGGTGGGGGAAAAGGATGTCTTCCGTCAGGTCCCATAAACAGAGCTGTGTGTCCTGGCCCACTGAGCCAAACCGATATGTCACGCTCACAGGGCGGCTGTCTGTAGAGTTCCGTTTGGATAACCTAGATTGTGTGCTATTTGCTCGGTCTCGGCCAAAATGAAGAAGGTCTTGGAAGTCCTCATCGCTGCCACTAAACTCCATAGGGTCACTTTCTTCTACACTAGTGGTATAGGGGTCAAAAGCCACCACACTGACCCAGGATTTGTGCCCGTGGCCTCTGGCTATTACGCGGCAGTCTACAAAAGACCAGACCGTCACCAGGTCATCCTCTCCGCCCGTCACGATGTACTTGCCATCTGGGCTCCAGCACACACAGAGCAGGCCCCCGAAGTAGCTCTTCATGGTACCGTGCAGCTCCACCGAGTCAAAGTTAAACACCCGCAGAAACCCGTCCTGGCTCACGCACGCCAAGAACTTGCCATCTGGGGAGAAAGCAAACTCGTTGAGGGCCCCCTCGCCCACTGTCCACTTGAGGAGAGGGTTCCGCGTGGATTTGCTCTTGCACGTGTGCACGGCGAAGCTCTCTCCTTGCTTCAGGAGCTGGTAGTGGGGGGCTGTGGTGCCACAAGTGTGCTCCACATTATACAAGTACATACTCCCGCTCGAGTGAGCTACTAGGAAAAGGCTTTCTGAGCCGGGCACCCACTTGACACAGGTTACTCGTGACTTGTCTATTAGTCTCTGTGAAGACAAAGGAGAACAAGTTATCACAATTGAGAAGTTTTAAGGTTCTACTTTTCCAGCAAGAAAACGTGTCTGCTTCTTGGTGAGAAGGGAAGAGTCCATCCTCCAGGCACTCCACACTTTGTCCTGTGGTCAGCCACGCCAGTGAAGAACATTCTGGCCCTTGTAGGCTTTCTAGAATCGCACTTGGGTGTTAGGTCACTGGCTCTCTGAGGGGGACGTGCTGAGAGGCTGCTATGTGCCAGGCACTGCACCAGGCGCTGGGACACCGTTTACGGTGGGAACGTCTGTGGGGGGGGGGTGGGGGGACCCACTGCACTGCACACGGGGTGCCCTAGAGGACCCACGCACAACTACGCCTCACGGCTTGTCCCACTATGCGCCAGTGCAGAATCCCTCTGCCTCTCTCGACGCTGGCTGCTTGGGGCGGGGAGCCAGGTGGCAGCCCACTACCAGCAGAGCACCCGGGACTTCAGAGCACACTCCTCGGGCTCAAACTCAGCCGGGTCCCCGAGCCTCCTCACTCACGTGCGCTGTCCTGGGTGTATCATTATAAGCGTTTCCTCAATTCCTCTTTGGAACGAGGTGGTGTTTAGAGAAACAGACGATTAATTCAGAAGCCTGTGCCTAATCACTATCGCTCTACTCCACGCCAATTTTCACCCGCTGACCCGACGGTTGTACCTAACAGGCCGAGATCAGGAGGACTGCCTTTAAAAGCAAAAGAGCAAAAGGCAGAAAAGCAAAACCACCCAAAGGCACAGCATGCACGCTGCACTGTTACGGGCCCCTCGTGAGGGTTGCTGGCTCAGCGCCTCCAAGGGGTGTCCCCTTCTCAACGGCCTATTCTCAAAATCACATCACCAGAAACCATCCAGAAGTTCCCAAGGGTCCCAGGTTCTTCCTAGAAACTCTCTCCACTATGCCACCACCCCATAGCTTTCCCTCCGGAGCCAGGGGGACTCCTGAAGAGCTCAAATGTCACCGTGTCCCCTGGCTGTTTGGCTCCCTAATGTGAGTCTCAGTGGTGCCAGCACTAGCCACAGGACCAAGCTGTGCTCTGTCTAGATGGCTCTGCTGCTGTCTGCTGGGCAGCCTAGGTTCTCACAGAAACGAGGAATTTGACTTTAAAAGGTCTGGAGAAAAAGGAATTGCTGAGCCCTGTGAGCTGTCGCAGGAAGGAGGACCTCAGAGGCCACTAACAAACGACCCAGCCAGGGAGGCACTGGGAGGCCTGGCAGGACAGGCCTGGGCCGGGTGGTCAGGGGGCCCAAGGCACGGGGACAGGGGTCTGGGCCAAGTGTCACTGCTCATCACTCTGAGTGTCACGGCCACAGGACAGCATGGCCTGTTAACAGGAACGTAGCCAGCCAGTCCTGAGGACAGGGCCAACATTTTCACGCCCTACCGCTTTCCTTTCCTGCCTGGTGACCCACCTAGAAAAGCACTGACCTATGTCAACGCCAACAACCCAAACACCTAGCACTCCTCTGGCAGCCTCTCCACTGGACCTGTGTGGTTTCTTCTGCAAGTGATTACAGAGGTCATTTACGGGGCCAGACCAGGGCTGGGGTGGGAGGATGTGGGACTGGCACAGGGGACATGCTAATGGGGGGGCTAAGGCTCCAGCCCCTCCCTCACCCTGCCCTGCCAGGCCCCACGTTTATAACTTTGCTGGGCCCACTGGGCCCGGGCTGCCCCTGGCACACCTGCACAGCGTCTGGGCCCCATGGCTCCCTGACATCAGTGGCCTAGTCCAGCCAGCCTGCAAAAACTACCTCAGGGCTGGGGAGCCACCCACCTGCCGCCTTAGCCAAGGGCAGTGGCTCTGCATTCCTGCACCTTATGTGTCACTAGGACCCCACCAAGCCCCAATTATCCCAGACTGTTTCTGTGCTAACAATGTTACTGTATTTATCATGTGCAGAAAGTATGAAGGACATAAAACATTCTAGCTGTACGGTTAGGAATAAATTTTATTTTTGGCTTTTAAAAAAACAACACAAACAATTCCATCAGAACTTGGCAACTGTAATGCTGTCAAGTGAAAACAGTACTGCTCTGCAGCTGGAAGGTACCAAGATAAACATCACCGTGATGACAGACACCACAAACCTGACTGCTGCACTGAGACGCTGCCTGGAAACCACTGTCTCAAGTGGCCACTGTCAAACGCCAGCACTTGCAAATCGGGGCTATCAGTTTAAGCAGGAGCAGACGAAAAAAAAGGCCTGGGACCGACTCCACCGCGGTGAGGGGTTCCCGTCTGTCCTAAGCACCCGTCGGACTGCACGAGGGCAGGGAACGGCCTGTGGCTGCTGGGGCGCCTAAACCTGACCACGCATGCGCAGGTGCTGCGGCCGTCAGCGTCGACGGGCACATCAACAGCAGCAGTCCCGGCGCCACCTTCCGACCAAGTGTCTACTATGGTGCAGGAGCTGGGCTGGCTTCCCACACATACACTCCTTAGTTCTCAGATGACCCTGCCAGGGAAGGTCACTTTAACAGGTAAGACGCTCGGTCTCACACCCCTCGCCCACACTCCACGCCCTGCCCTCCTCAATCACTGCCTCTAGTTCCTTGTGTACCCTCCTGGAGTGTGTTCATACACGTACACGCCACATGGGAACACAGCTTTATCCACCCCCTTTTTCCACACAAAAGGAAGCAGGCTATGCAACTGTCTGCGCTGTGCTCTCTCGTCCAATAACACACCTTTTAGGTCTTCCTGTAGACGTACTGAGAGGGCGTCCCCACCCTTTGCTACAGCTGCAGAGAAAGTGGGTATACTGTGCCCGATTTTAAAGTCCCCACTGACAGGTGCTTGTCAGCTCCAATCTTTTGCCATCACAAACAACGTGGCAATGTTACCTCGTGGCATGTCAGTTTTCAGACTTATGAGTACAGCTGCAGGATCCAGTCTCCCTGGGACAAAGGGTACAGACTACATTTACAATTGGTACAGATACTGCCAAACGGCCTCCCCTGGAGGATGCAGCCATTTATGCTCTCACCAGCAACATAAGCCTGCCTGTCTCCAACAGGAAGGGGTCACTGCCGTATCACCCACAGGGAAACAGGCTCAGCAAAGTCGAGAAACTTGACTGAAAGCCCATTCTTTCATCCAGTCCATGAATACCATGTGCCAGGCACTGATACCGTAGTGAATAAAACTACAGAAACCCTTCCTGCACAGAATTTATGTTCGAGTGGAAAGAGAAGACGTAAAACTTAAAAGATCTGATGATAATAAGTGCTTTGGAGGAAAAGCAAGCCAGGAGAGAGCACAGAAAGTGCTGCTGGGACGGGGTGGGGATGGGGGAAGGGTAGTAACTGCTTCAAGTATGATGCAGAGAAAGGCCTCTTTCTCTGGTGGGGGTGACAGCTGAGCAGAGACCTGAAGGCCAGCAGAGAGCAGGCCTGGAGTCCACGTGGGGAAGAGCATTCCCAGCACAGGGAACGATAACCACCACAGCCCTGCAGGGAGGGAGCCCAGCACACAGAGGAACAGCAGAGGCCGGTGTGGGTGGGACAGACTGGGGACATATGTGGTCACACAGCTAAGGGCAAAATGGAAATTGAATTTAAGTCCATCAGCCCCCAAGTGAGTGTTCCGTCTTCTGAGGCATGGCGAAACCCCGACCAGCTCTGAAGAGCAGCCTGCCAGGGCCCATCGCCGTGTGGGAGGTAAACGCCAGCCCAGCTGAGACTCCAGCCCAGGGTGTGAGGGCCGCAGGAGAGGAGAAGCATCCAGGGCAGGCTGCAGTCATTCACCTCACACTGCTCTGCCTTACTATCTGGTCTGGGTCTAACGAAGACAAAGAGAACAGAAAGCATTTTACCTCTTCTCTGGAATTAAGAAATAGAGATACCTGGAGCATTTTATTCAATAAATAAAAAGAATAAAAATTATGCAGCCCAGTTTCTGTACACAAGGGTCCAGTATATTTTGTTCTAGAAAATGTTCAGTTAAAAAAAAGAAAGGACTCTTAATGGGGGTTGATGCTAAGTTACAGCTCTTCCCTTTGGGCTGGAACTCTCCAGTAATAATGGAGCCTTGATGTGGATGAGGATGAAAAATGCCTCCAGCAAGGCTGCATCCCGGGGGGGCTCTTGGACAGAGGTGAGGCAGGGTGGCTGAGAGAGAGGCGGATGGGAAAGCGGGTGGGCAAACTCAGGGAGAACGCAGTGGGGTGACCCGCAGAGGCTCAGACCAGAAAGCCCGGAGTGCCTGGGAGGGTGTGGTATGTTTGAGAGGAGCACCTGAGCAGGCGCGAGGAAGTCAGTCTGCAGATGTCAGCCAGGCCACAGGGCTGCTAGTCCCCGACGGAGGAGCTAGGCTCTGACCCTGCAGCCCCCGAGCACATGTGGCCACCGAGCAGGGGAAACGTGACCAGTCTGAAGGCAGATGTGCCGTGAGTGTAAAACATACGCTGGATCTCTGAGACTCAGTGGGAAAAGAGAATGTGACACACCTCATTCATCAGATGGGTTATATGCTGACATGATAATATGTGGGGAATACTGGATCATTATTAAAATTAGTTTTTTTACCTTTTTAACGCGACCATTAGAAAATGTACACTTGCATATATATGGTGTATTCCTACTGGGCCGTGCTGCTGCTGCACACAGCAGCAGCTTCTGAAAAGAGAGGAGACAGAACAACGTGGAATCCCTCAGCCGTGGACAGGGTGAAAGGCGGGTTCAGTAGGAGTACCAGTTAGGAGGCTACAACAATTGTCCAAGCCTGGACAAAGGGCTCCTACAGACGGGAGAGGCCCCAGGAGGACGGGTTAATGATAGTTTGGCAGGGGGACTGGGGGGCTTAAGGCTGTGAGCTTGAGGGACAGGGAGACGGTGGCGCTGGCCCGATGAGAGAGAGGAGATGGCTGAGCGGGGCAGGGGCTATGCTGGGGGAGAAATCCGAGGGTCCTTATCGAGTACCAGTACCAAAGCAGCTGCCGTCAAGTCGATTCTGATTCATGGCGACCCAATACATTGCACAGTAGAACTGTGCTCCACAGGGTTTTTGGTTTTCAAGGCTGAGACCTTTCAGAAGTAGATCTCCAGGCCTTTCTTTCGAGGTGTCTTTGGGTGGGTTGGAAAAGCCAACCTCTTGATGAGTAGTCCAGCACTTAACAATGTGCACCGCCCCAGGCTGCCTCCTTAGCGCGCAGGCAGATGGAAAATGTCAGTCTGGGGCTCATGCAAATGACCAGTGGAGACCAGGAAAATCACATCTGTGACATCCTAAGATGGTCTCCATGGGACAGGATGGTGCAAGGAGGCAAGGGAAGTGTCAAACTCTGGGGAAAACCCACTTACAAGGAGCAGGACAAAAGCCAGCAGAGCAAAAGGCAGACCAGAGAGAGCACCCGAAGTCCCACGGGGAGAGAGTGGGAGGGAGGAAGGAGCTGGTGTCCAGGGAGTCTCCTAGCCCCTGTGTCCTGTGACAGCCCTCTGCTCCCCAGAAGGTGTGGGGACAGGCTGACAGGCTGAGCGAAGGATGACTCTCTGGCACCTGTCCTCGAACTCAATAAAGCTGCAGGCTCCCAGGTCGGGTGGAGGAGAAGAATGGGGGCCCCAGGCCGGCCCCCCAGGTAGGGCAGGTGGGGAGTTGGGGAGCAGCTAGGGAGGAAACAAAGGGATGGACTCAGAATCAGCCTCGGAGGCAGGAGGTGAGGTCGCCTGGCATGGCCACAGGGCACACCTTCAGAGTCAAATCAGAAAGTGCTCCAAAGGCAATTCTAATGATAACTTCTGTAAAAAAAAAAGAAAAAAAAAAAAAAACCCACCACCACAACAACAAAAACCTGACTATCAGTATGAGATTCCTGTGTATGCAAAACGCCTGTCCTGGCACACAGCACTTGGGCGAAGGGGCGCGCGGGGGGTGAAGGTGTATCTCAGCTCTCTGTGTTTGCAGAAGGCCCTCCCTCACGTTTCCAATGCGGAATACCAAACAAACTGCCCGAGTGCAGGGTACTAACCCGACAAAAAGGTCAAACAAAACAACAGCAGCAAAACCCTAGCCGACCTAACGGCAGGAACGTTTTCTAAATATACTATACGTTAAAAGGAAACGGCTGAAAATACGCCTGGAACCACACTCAAGTGCCGCTGCTAAGGGGACTAGTTTTAATCGAAGCTTTCGAAAGCACTCAAGTTTCTTTCTTTTCACTATCAGCATGTAAGCAGGGAAAAAACGTTTTCAGGGGGCCTGGATAAGCATATTACGATCCACGTACTGACTTACAACGAAAACACTAAAACGAACAACTCAAATCCACAGCAGCTGGTGAAGTCATCACGTGGCCCCAGCACAGGCAGCTCGTGTGAGGTGGATCTGGAGGATGGGCTCTTTCCAGACGAAGGGTAAAGAAAGGGTATTTCAAAGCCATGGCACCAGACCTAGGCGTCATTTCTGCCAATGTTAAAACTTTAAGGAGCAGATCATTATGTGCTCATTTCCTTCCCCTGATTAAAAAAGGTGACAGCAACACAACACTATGGAGATGCACGTGACCGCTCTCCCATTAGTTACAGGGACAGAATATTCCGCAGCAGGGCCTTGCCCAACTCCCCCACTCCTGAGGGCCCTGGGCAGAGGAGGGGCTGCAGCAGGCACAAGTGCCCGTCTACACCCTCCAAGGGGCCGGGGCCATCTGCTCCTCCCATGTGCTTCAACAGACGGGATCTAAACATACCCAGAAGCCACAGGCCACCCAGTGGTTCTCCCGGGGACCACCACCTACCTGTGAGAGAAGCAAGCCGAGCACAGCAGGGTCTCATCACATGGTAGCAACGAAAGAAGCCAAGGAAAGTTCTTTACAGATTTTACATTTTAACCAACAATGAAAACACACTTGAAAACCCTTGAGAGTGGTTAACTCTGAGATCATCAGAATATCTACAAAGACGCGCACGGCTGAGTGCAGCAGCAGCGCCACACGGGCACTGTCCCTGGATAGCTCCTTGCCCCTGGTAGTGCTGCAGAGCCACGACGCTCCTTTCCAGGCAGTTCCACGGTCTGGAGCTCACCGGATAGACTGTGTTCCAAAACACTCTCAATAAAGGCCCACTGGACGTTTTCAAGGACAGAGCATGCCCAGGAACAAAATGCTACAAACAGAAACCTCCAGTCTAACAGCTTAGAGAAAGCAGAGGCTGGGCAGCTGGGGTATCACTTCCTAGTCAGGCCCACGTCCAAGGCGCAGAGGACCAGGGGTTTCTACTTCCTCCTGGGCTGCAACCGGCATAGCAGCTGGGCCTGGGTGACGGCACAGTCCCAGGGAGCAGTCAACCACCAGGACCAGGCTCAGGGTGGCGCACTGCACCAGCATCTCCCCTGGAAGGCGCGACCCTGACAGCCTCGCCTCAGTAAAAAACTTCACAAGATGATGAACGTTTCCCATCTTCTTTGTTCTCTATTTTGCCATCTTCCTATAAACTAGCATTTTTACTTTTTAATTAATAAAAAAGTCATGTATTGAAGTATCTTTGATTCCAAAGTGGAAAATTTTCGTCTATCCTTAATCTTCAGTGGATTTCTGGAATTTAAATTCCGTTCCATCCATCCATGCAAGCGTTTATTATCTGTTCACGTACCAGGCACTAGAAAGCAGGCAAAGGTGGGAGTAACTAAGACTGTGTGTGTGCGTGTGCAACACAGGTGGCTGAGAGAAGTGATGTGACAAGACAGCAAGGCACAGACACTCAGCGTGGTGAGTAGTCCCACGCTTCTGCCTTCCCCACATGACTCTCTGCCAGGGCTGCCCTGCTCTTCTTGTCCTGGAAAACTTCTAATTATCCTTCAAAGCTGTTGGTATCTCATCTTCCAAGAAAGTCTTTCCTTCCAACCCCCAGAAGAAAAGGAAACCTCTGGTTTCTTCTCTGCCTTGCACTTTACTGGACACTGACCAGGGCTGCCCCGGGCCCCTGACTAAGCACTCTGCTCAAACGGCACCCTCTCGTTCTCTCCGCAGACCCTCAGGTGGGCACTATTCTCACCCACTTCCCAGGCCAGAAGGGAGGTTCAGGAGCAGACCAGGCCCCGCAAGCAGGAAGTGGTGGAACTAGGCATGCTGGCTCAGGTTCTGACTCAATCGGAGCCTAGGTTCTGAACCACTGGGCTGTCAATCTGGAAACGTCATGGTAATTAACTCATCATTGTAAATGTGCCTTTGGATGCTATCTGATGAGATGGCCAGCATCTTGGAATATAATCTTCTCTTACTATACTTTCTCCACAGACAGTTTAATCTAATCTCAGGAATTCAATGACTACTTTATATGCTGTTATTGTTAGCTGCCAGCCAACTGATTCCGACTCATGGCGACCCCATGTGTTATGGCGCAGAACTGTTTCACAGCGTCTTCTTTGCTGTAATCTTAGCAAAAGCAGATCACTAGGCCTTTTCTTCCACTGTACCACCCAGTGGGTTTGAACCACCGACCTTTAGGTTAGCAGTTGAGCGCAAACTATCTGTGCCACCTAGGGACCTTATTTATAAGCTAACAACTCCCAAATCTTCATCTCCAGGGTTGAGCTCCAGATCCGCACATCCACTCCTCCATGTGGCCGTTTCACAAGCCTCCTGAACTTAGCGAGTACCAAAGGGAACCTCTGCTCCTTCCCCAGGTCTGTCCAGTGCCGGAAGTGACAGCCATAAACCCAAGTCATTAACACCTCTCTCCAATTCAGTCTCCAAAAAGCAGCCACGGTGATTTTCGAAACCACCAACTGGATCGCCTGGTGCGCCTGCTCCTTTCCACAGGACCCGTGGCTGAGGTTACGAGATACTTGTCCTCAGGCCAGAAAACAAGCCCTGAGGGATCTGCCGCCAACCTCAGGCCCCTCACATCCTGCCACCAGATACACTGGCTTCCTCTCAGTCCCTCTCGGTCCCCGGGGCCTTCAACTGCTGCCCCCTCTGCAGGAACTCTACCTCCACCTCCTTACCTGGCTGGCCTCCTTCTTAGGGGAGGCTCAGCTTAAAAAGGAAGATGTGTGTATCTCCTTCTCTCCATGTGTGTGTGCGTGCGTGTGTCTCTCTCTCAGGCCCGCTCTCTCCCCTTACATCATTGTCCGCAGTTCTAAGAGCGTGTGTGGGGCGCTGGGACTTACACCTGCCTTCCCTCCTGGAGGGTGGAAGACAGGAGGGCAGGGACCGTGTGGGCTCCGGGTCGGTGGTCAGGGTCTGTTGAGTGAATGAATGCACAGCCACAACACTAGTCCAAGCCCTCAGCTCTCACCTGGACGGTCACTAGAGCCTCCTCACTGGTCTTGCTACCTTCATTCTCTCTGTCTTCATTCCAGTCCACCTTCCACAAGTGCTGACAAGAGTTCTAAGAAACACATGTGATCCTGTCACTCCCTTGAGTAGAAGCCCAGGGGTCCCCATAGCTGCCGGTGTCAGATTCAAATTTCTTCGCATGACATGAAAGGGCTTTTACAATGGGGTCCGATTTACCTTTTCAGCTTTGCCTCTTGCTGCCTGGATCCCTACACTCTGTGATTGGGCCACACTTGGTCACACACCAAGCTGTTTACTCCAGCTCTGGAGCCTTCTTACCCTTCTCCAACTCCTGTGCACCCTTCAAGACCCAGATCAAATGTCACCTTCTAGAAGCCTTCTCTGATTTCCTCTACAGGACTTATCTTTTGTTTTTATTATACGATATTTGAAACACACTGAAGAACACACTTTGCACACAGCCCCTGGTAGTGGCTCCCATCGCTATGGTAGCACACGCCCCAGGACTCCAGCTGTCCGGCCTTACTGCACTAAGAGCTCCTGGGAAGACCAGGACTGAGCCGGTGGCCCTGCCATGGGGGGTTACAGCCTAGGACCAGGAAGAGTGTGTGGAATCCATTTCTGGTTCCACTGCTACCACTAATTTGCTACTTGATCTGGACAATTCACTTACCTTCTCTTTGACTATTTCCTCATCTATAAAATTGGGACAGCTGCTCACCCTCCCGTGTCCCTCCTGTGTAGAGGATATATGTAAAAGCACTCTGAAACCTTTAAATCTCACACTAGTGCAAAGCCATTCCTGGCACTCTCTGAAAAGCAAATCTCTGATGACACTTGCTTTAGACAGCCTGATCATCATCGGATGTAAATACTATCCACACAGCCAAAGAATTTCTTCACCGTGAAGGGCCATCGATTTCAGCCTCAAGCTGTAAATGCCAAACTGGTATTAAACCATACACAGTCCTAGCATTTTGAACAACCATTTTCAAACAAAATGTAAGACAAGTATAACTCATGCTTAAATCATTGACAGTGAGGAGGTGCTTTCTAGCCTGCACCTCAGAGTCTCCCAGAGTAAGGGGTGGGTCTGCTGGCGCAGCCTGAGAGCTCTCACGACTCGGCCCCTGGCCCCCCCATCGCTGACTGCACAAACCTCTCCTTGTTCTCTAAGTGGCATTCCGTGCCATCTGCAGCCGGAGCAGCCTCCGGATCTTGTTTTGCCAACAGGCCTTTCCGTGGTTCTGACCCCTCCCCCTCCATCATCCTTCTCCTACCTAACCACAAACAAAACCCCACACTGATTCCGAATGTGCAAGTTCTGTTAACAGTGCAGAGAGGGCTGGTTTCATGTCTCTCCCCCACCCACCCAAAAAGGGGAGGGGGAAATCATCCAGGTACTTAGAAATCATTTCCTCAGAGGATATTAATAAAAGCAAAAACCAAACCCATTGCATCAAGTCGATTCTGATGCAAGCGACCCTACGGGACAGAGCAGAACTGCCCCACAGGGTTTCCGAGGAGCAGCTGGAGGATTCAAACGGCTTATCTTTTGGTTAGCAGCTGTAACTCGCCTGAGCTGTTAACAACTGCGCCACAAAACATCTAGGTAAACAGAATATTTTCTGCTTAAGGCTTTTTTTAAACGGGAAAAGGGGTTAAATACTTTCCCTCTACAATTTGTCAATCCAGATGGCAAGTTTTGTTTCCAGTCACCCCGGATGAAACTAGAAGAGGAGCTGGCATGGTTCAAAAGATATCCTCAAATCCACTGGCAAGTCCAACAGGAGCACCCTGGATGGACACTGGATATGCATGGGCAGCAAATACCACAGAGACTGCAAGAGAACCAGAGGTTTAACTGAAATTTTTCAAGTTGAATATTCTTCCCCAAACAAAATTATTTCTTAAAAACCAGAACCTATAATGTGCTTCTGTTCCAAGTTCTTGATGTTAAAACCATGCAACAATACAAAAGCATCGGTTCCTTTTTGAGAGAGGGTGCCCACATGACCTGACCCTTGTCCGATCAGGGTTGAGGTCACAAGTAGAGACTGGAACCCAGGGCTTCTTCCTCCGCAAGCCTACCTCGTCTTTTCCATCTGCTAATAAGAAACTCACACTGAGACAAAGAGGAGGAAGAACATCAAATATGGAATGGCAACATTCGGGGCCGAAAAGCTGTTCTGATGGCTTTTTCGAGTATAATCTGTTTGGCAACTTCTATCTGCCACATTTACGAGTGCAGACATGTTCCTGAACAGACAGCTCAGATATCTCAGGCTCTTTCCAGAATGAAACAGAAGACACTAGAAACCCCGGTACGTACTACAACATTGGCAATGGCTATGTTATGTTACACCATTTTAAGTGCCAGGATTTCTAACTACGTCAAAGGTGATTTTATAGTAAATATTTTCCAGATCAAGACAACCACTCCTTAGGCAAATGCCTACCAAACACACACAAGAACGCTTTAGCTACCATTTAAGCAGCCTAAGGAAATGTCATGAAGGTCTTGGATCGGCATGAAATTTTCTGGTGATGTAAACAGAGTCTGGAATTCTGTAATTTCTTATTTAAATTATATACACCAAGTCATAGTCTCGTCCCTCTCTCCATGGTAAGAGTTTAAAGCACATGCTATAGACACCTGAGCATGCCCCATGAAAATGCACAAAACGGTAACACCAGGGAGGATAGGTGAAGATCAGCAAATTAAGCAGACATCTGGATGCAGGTAATACTAGGTGGGAGGGCGGAGCGAGTGCAAGGGGCTTAGCTCTCAGTGTCACCGGAAGCCCACCACCCTTGGTAGGAACGGATCGACTCTTTAGAGGGATGCTTAACAGCTAAGATGGGGTGCTACTTACTTCCTCATTAAATAGTTTGCTAGTTTCTTTTTTGATTGGGTCTATAAGCTGGACTTGGCCTGCGGAAAAGCCCACTAGGAGAGAGACACTTTCTGCTGTGGCTGTTAGGTGGTTGAAGTCATGACAAGTAGGCTGTGTTCCTTTGTAAATCCTTTTATCTATTGGTTTACTCAAGTCAGCAGCCTGGAGGAGAGAGAGAAAAATACATACGGTAAACAGCACATTGTGATGAAAACTCTAACTTACACTATGTTATCTCCATTATGATGTTTCATCTTAAAAATGAAGTTATTTAAAAAGTTTTTTAGTTGTGACTTAATATTCATCTAGCATTTTATAAACTTTCACATACATTAGCTAAGTAGATATTAGACTATCCAAAATGTTTAAAACTATTACTGTCACAACCTACTTTATTCTCCTTCAAATATATGTAACAAAGATTCCTGAATTTCAGGAGGGAAAATCCTTGAAATAGCTAAATTCAGTATTCCGCAAAATGCATTTCAAGCATTTTCTAACAGTGTAACTCTAACCACATAAAAGCTCAGCTTTCAAATACATCTGCAGCACCTAAACGCCCCCTGGTGAGTTACCTGTAGCCCAGTGATTCTCAAAGGGTGGTACCCAGACCAGCAGCAGCAGCAGCATCACCTGGAAACTTGGAAATGAAAATTCTCAAGCCCCACCCCGGACCAAACAAAAGCAGAAACTCTGGGGTGGGGCCCAGCCATCGTCTCTGAACAAGCCCTCCAGGTGATGCTGATGCAGACTGGAGTCTGAGAACCACCGCTGCAGCCAATCCTGAGGAGGCTCCTCCCTGTCTGGGTCACAGACCCTCTTCAGTTTCAGCTTTCAGGTCTCTCGCTCACTGAGCCCACGCTCAGTGCTAAACATGCCTCATCTTTAATCCTTACAAAATCCTTTAAAGGAGGAAAAATTTTCCCCATCTTACAGATGAGAAAACAAGTTTAGGAAGTTTAAATAACTCGGCCAAGGTCACGTACCTACCCAGTAAGTGTCAGGACTGGATTTTGAGCCCAGGTTTGTTTGAACATAAAAGAATGGGGGAGAAAACACACACACCACACACACGCACACACACACACACACCCCCCCACACACACACATCCTGCTCCCCCGCCCCCAACACACTCCAAAGTCAAAAGCAAATGTCTTCTGACTTTGGCAAGACATGGTTTTCAACACCCCCACCCCCTCCACCATCACCACCACCTCGTTTTTAAGGCAGGAGTCTTTTCTTCAGAAGAAATGTTCTATGCAATCCCAATATGCTGGGCTGTTAGTGTTGAAATAAGGGAGACCCCCCCCCTCCCACTCTTGTGGGAAAGTCGCAGGTGGAGACAGCTAACTGTGCTGCCCATGTCCTTCAGACCTCCACTTAGGCCCTGTGTGCCATCATTCACCGCTCTAGTTCTCCACTGACCCCCTTCACTACGTTCTGGAGATTTCTTTCTTCCAAAGAAGCCTGTGACGTTGCACTGAGTATTCTAATGTTTGATTTCAAATAACTATAAATACTGAGTAGAAAAGAGGACCCCAAAATTACAGGCGTCTTGGAGCCAACGCAAACCTGAGCACTTGGCAGTCTGGACCTGAGTACTGGAGCTATTCTGGGAGCCCCGGGGCAAAGGGACGCGGGTACATGCCATGCGGACACTCTCCCAGCCTCACCTCAGTTAAAATGGAGATGAGAACCTCTGTTCTACCAACCTCATGGGATTGTCTGGAGGATGAAATAAGAGAACATACACATGAAAGAGTCTTGAAAAGTGTCCTATAAAGTTCTACACAAAACAAAAGGGGTTCCTGACTTTGGAGAAAGGCGGAAAAGGCCTGGGGGGTGGGGGGGAGTAGCTGTTGTCCCAGGAGGTGGGCTGAAGCCAGTGCTCAACAGAGGCCTGAGGGTGAGGGGTCTGTGGAAGGAGCCTCCCCACTGGCTCACGGACAGTCTGCCTGAGGGAAACATCTCCTGAGCTGGGTCCTGAACCTGGGAAAGAGGAATCCAGGCTCAGGGAACAACAGAAACAAATCATCTCAGAGCAAGGAATGTTCTGGCAAAGTAGTAATAGCTGAAAATGTAAAATAAGATAAAACTAACAGCTAGAGACAAAAATCAAGTTTGAAATATGAACAATTAAATCAACACACGATCAGGATATTAGCACACATAATTCTTTAGACTTTTTCTTTAAAAAGTTAAGGGAATTTTCCCCTAAAAGGATATATCTAAAATTATACACTTAAATATAAAACTCAATTCAAAGCAAGGAAAAATTAACACAGAAAATATGCTACTATAAATTAAACGAGCAAAAGAATATATTAGGTTTCTCAGAAACAGCAGAGTAAGCACAAGTGCCCATTTTTCCAACTACTGCTACCAGTTCAGTTAAACTCATGGGTCCTTTACAATAGCTACACTAGCCTCAGTCTTTGGTATATTTATTTTACATCCTTGCCCCCAGTATGGAACTTTACTGAAAAGATATCATTTATAATTAGATTATATGCAAATGAACAGCAAAAGTATTTTAAATGCCAGCTGAAAGATTATTTTTACTCTTAAATCAGGTAAACAGTCCAAAAACACCCTGTTCACTAATTTGCTCATTAACCGTCTTCTTAGATCACTGACTCTCAACGCCCCCGTCCCCATCCGCGAACAGCCTGTTACTATTCTGCGGTCACATCGAGTGCAGAAATCGAATACAAGCATTGAGAAACTTCCATGGCAATTTGAGAGAGTAATTTTTTATCCGTTGAATCTAATAAAAAAAAGTAGAGTTTGTATTCTGCGTGTCTTTTTCGGTTTCATTTTTCCAGTAATTCATTTTTTATTTTACAACGTCCAGGAGTGGCCATTTTTTTTAACAGGTCCTCTCACTAGTGTGAGAAGCACTGTCCTAGAAGGCACAAAAGTAGACAGGCCCGAGGAACACAGAGGCTACCTCTTACCTCAGGTCACCTCTCCCTCCCCAGCTCCCAATGGCACTAACCACACCATACAACCAACTAACCATACAGCAGCAGAAGTCCAGCCAGGCAGCATGTCCCCTACACCGAGTGAGAACTATTGTGACACCGGAGGGACCGCTAGGTGTGTGCCCATGTGCAACTGTATTTCTGGGAAACCATGGGCTCCTTCGTTTTGGGGGAGCAGGTATGGGGGGGATGTCAACACATACTCTGAACTCACATCCTTTTTGGTGGCAGTAGCCACAACCTGGTTCCACTACTCCTCTTCCCCATGGGCTCATCCGCCCGACAGATGACTTCTAAGGCCAGGCTCTGGTAGGAGGAGAAAGAGGCCAGACTCTGGAGCCAGGAAGCCTAGGTTTGAACCCTGCCTTCCCTCGGCCTCCAGCAGGTGCTTATTTCCTTCTCACTGAGCCTCAGACAGTGGGGGCGGGGGAGGCTGCAGATAATGGCACAAAGCCCTCAAATGGCAGCTATCATGATTAAGTCATCTCTGTCACATCCCACCTCTGACTAAAATGCTTCCATGGGTTCCTAATTTCCATCACATCAGAAACTATAAAGCCACGTCCAGAAGGTGGGCCCTCTGGGGTTTGGCTCATCCCACCTGATGGCAATCCCACAGCCATCCACCGAGTAGTCTTCTGCGTGCCGGGAACCTCACACGCATTCCCTCGTGTCACAGTCGCCCTTCAGAGCAGACACTCGGGGTATCCACCCTTTCCCTGTGAGGAAGCTGGAACTCCACTGGGAGCTGGTGCTCTGCACCGCTGTCCACTCCCTGCCCTGCCCCTTCGCTGCCCTCGGCTGTGGTCCCACCGGCAGCCCGTGCTGGCCTGACTTCACCAAGGTCTCTGCTGGCGGTGAGCAACTCTGCCCCCTTCCCCGGAAGCCCATGCACCAGTGCCCATCCCGCCACCTCGGGGAGCTTTCCCCACTATCCTTCTTTGAGCTCTCCTTTTTCCTAATTCTCATGTACTTCATTTGTTCCACAACACTGAGTATTTAATCACTTACGTGATTACAGAATTGTTTTATGCCTCTTGTCATCAATTACAAGACATTACAATCACAATTTTAAAATCACAATAAAAACTCCTTTAAGAAACAGAACTTCTTTATTAAACAGTCACCACTGTATTGTTCCACAAAATTAGCATTTGTTTTTCAGCTTTCTGCTGGATTCTGCATAGATGGGTTACACACACTCTGGAAATTTTTTTTTACAATCTGCATCCTAATTATCGCCAATTATCTGACATTCTGGAGTCCCTAGGTGGTGTAAACAGTTAACACACTCGGCTGCTAACCAAAGGTTGGCAGTTCAAGTCCTCCCAGAGGCATCTTGGAAGAAAAGCCTGGCAATTGACTTCCAAAAACTCACCACTGCAAACCCTATGGAGCATAGTTCTCCGTGGACACACGGATGGGGTCGTCATGCGCTGATGTTGACAGCAACTGGTTGTTCGGTTTTACCTGACTTAAACGTGAATTTATAGCAGAACCAATTTATTAAAAATCCTTATAAATTTTAAGAATTAGATCTCATCTGTCTATCCAGCCCCAGTAGAGTATCCAGTATGTCACAGTTGCTCAGTATTTGTTGAATAAATTAAACTGCGTTTGCTTCTGAATTCTTCGATGGTAGATTAAACTTTATCAATATGCTCATTAGTTTCTGCACAGTTACTGACGACAAATCACTCGTCAGTGTCTCATCGTGCTTATTAGGTCGTCAACTTAATAGGACAAATCTAAATGATGGTTTTAAATTCTTACTACAGAAATAGAGTGGTTACCAAAAACCTCGGTCACTAAGTACACAGTTTAAATTTCATGTTTCTCTTTTCCTTGGACTTTTAATCCTTAAAATCCCTGAATTCTTTCCACGATGAGTACTGCTGAAGCACCGAGTCAGCTCAGCTGGTTGAGCCTGGCACTAATGAGACAGTGGCCACGTGAGGAATTTCTGTCCAGTATCACAAAGGGTTTGCCAAAGGAAACCTGTGTTCCAGCCCACGCCCTTCACTCCAGATCCCCATCGACCGCGCTCCCTGGAATGCTGCTGATCCAACAGGAATGAGGGTGAGGGGCTTGCAGCTGTGAGAGCCTGGCCCACCAACGGCTCGGCGGGCCTACGCACACTGCCAGGACGGGCTGTGGGAAGCCTCTGCCAGGGGCGG